ATATTTAAACACTGGTTTTATTAGAATATACTAATTGCAAGAAATCTAATAAGAGCAATTATTGAAATAAATAATAGTGCTGAAGATAGCTGAAGATAATATTTGCTAAAGGAGAAAATTTCGGACAATCAACTAGATATAGATTCCGATGTGTCACAGGTCGGAGATGTTTTGTGTTGTGTCTGAGTTTGGGACCTGTCTCAGTCCAGAACCCAGACACTCAGTCCAGAACCCAGCCAGAACTGAGACAGGTCCCCCAACTGAGGTACAACATAGCTTTCTCTAACATGTAAACCATTAACCATTGAAACTTTCATGATTACACAATTGAAAAGAGGTCCTGGATTACTGAGGTTTTATGGTAATGTCATTTATTCTTTCTAAATATTGTCCATTCCCAGAATAATTTACAAGCATAAAACACTACACGAACTTTGTAAGATGTGATCTATCAACTTTTTACAGACTGTATAATTAACAGAGCGATCCAATACATAACGATAATAATAATTGTATACAATTATTGAAATTCCAGATTCTGCCGTCCGCATCCAGACTCGGTAATACAAGTGGCTCTCGATATAAGAACCCTTCGATATAAGAAAGATGGCCCATAAGAAAGCTTTTTGGCTGGTTCCGATTTTTACTATGAAAATTTTCTTTATAAGAGTTTATTATAAATTCGCGTATGTAGAGATTCCCAAATATTTATAGTAGTAGTGGAAAGGCGTTTTGTTTTTAGCATATCTTTATCAACGTCGTCACCTGCCGTAACGGTAAATTTGATGTACTCTAACAGAGCGCGTATGACTGTGAGGTAATGTGAAATTCAATTAAAATTACAAGAACGCAGTTAATGCCTAAAATGTCTTGTACGTTACTTATTGCGCAGAACGCTGTGTGATGTCTAAGCAATACATGCAGACATTCAATAATCTAAGTTGAAACAGTGGCATAAAATATAAAACTTTTTCCAGTATATTGGCTTTACTACGGAAATGCGCTAATTGAATGCGGTTATTATTATGCTTCTATGTATGATCCTTATCTCCTTCTCCAATCGCCTATTAATATTAAACTAATAATAATACCAGAATACTGTAAGTAGATTCGCAAGACTTTTCAAGTGACCTATTCAACGCTTATCCAAAAGATGCGCGCTGGCTGCCAATTGACATTACTAGTACGCCTAGTTACGACAACTCTGTGTGGAATAACTTACTTGCGGCCGTCATCTGAGTCTTCCCTCACTAGATTCTTAATTATTCGTATTGCTAGAGATTGGTATCACATACACGTTTGTTCCATTCTGGATGTTCCGATATTGCACGATGCGATTTGTTGCTACAAGCGGGAAGCTTGGTAAGAAAAAGTAAATATTAATGATACATAATACAATATTCGAATAAATGATGCATGATGCGCGAAAACCTTTAACATATGTATCTGCTCAGTTAACCATTCTTGAAACCCCAAACACAGAATTAGTTTAATGGCTCACGTTTTATAGTCCTCAGTTGTATGTATGTACTCAGCGGGGCAGGAAGAGCGCGCGATACCTTGGGTTTTGTGACTCACGTTTTTATAGTCCGAGAATAAGCAAGAATGCGCGACACCTTTATTACGTGACCATAGTTGTTATTTCTCCAATGAGAATGGGGCCTATATTAAAATTGAAAATTTTCGATAAATCCTACATCCCATTGTCGAGGTTAGACTGTACGCAAGCCCGATCGTTATTACGGTGGAGAAATACAAACGGTATTCAATGCAGGATGATAGAAATAAGATCCCTTCGCCGAGTCACAATCAATTTGCCTAGATTGCCGAAACGCTAGCAAATTTATTATCTACTCTACCTTGCTATTACAAGAATCCATTCGGAACAGTACGAACGGATAAATACAAGGAAAACTGGTTATCGGTTTTTTAAATTTATCGGGAAGAACCTTCATATTCTGCCTTTTCCTCGGCGGATAACAGGTAAGACTCCGAGAGGCATGCATGGTTTAATGTGTGTAGATTAGAGTATGGGATGATTACGAACAGGAAATACCATTATTGTAAGTGACGAAAGTCTTCTGCTATTGTATTCTTGCACGCAATTAGATCGGAATGAAAGGCAAAATTCCTTGTCAAGTTTTTAACTTGGCAAAAAGGTAAAATGAGTATTATGAACACTGTTTTGCATCCAACTACTCTCATTCTATATTATTTGACTGTTAACATTCACCATTCCTCCTGTCTTATAAAGCAACATGTAGTGTTCGCGTGCATTAGCTGTTGGAGTTGGGTTTATCACATATTGACTCCCGACCATAACCCTATTGCATAAAAGTTTGTTATATTTTTCGCCGAATGATGGTGACTTGGCAGCGCGTGCGTTTGACAGTTCTCTCCGAATCATCTTGCGGCCGAGCTCGAAGATGATTCGAGAGATTTATCAGCACATCCTGAAGTTGGCTTAACATATTACCCTATTGAGAGAGCTTGCTAAAGTCGATCCTAGTAATGGATCTGACTGATTCTGCTTGCTGATATGAGTAAAGAATACAGAAATCCGCCCTGAAGACCGTTTACACAGATCGAAGAAAAAAGCCTATAAGACGATTTACGGCTTAAGGAGATTTAGATTTGGCAAGACGAGCAAGGTTTATCACGTGTGTTGAGGATTGGACAACATTGTCGACAAACTGTTGTGCGTTTGATGACAAGATTCCAGCTCGGTTTGGTGTACCTGGTAAAAGAGAAATTCGAACGAGTTCTGCAGAAAGAAGGAACTTATATAGACACTTGAACTGACTCTGCGCTCTGAAAACTACAGACCCGACCATTCATATTGAATTACTTGATTATGGGAAGATTGGAACTTGTATAAAAAGCCGACGGCCTTTCATGAAAGCGGCGAACGCGGTGAGTTAGTCCCACCTGCGCTCTCAAACGAACTTCGTTATGTCCAGTATCGTCGTTCCTTTTCAACATCAAACTCACAGACACAGAAACTCCTTGATGATGCCTTGGACTACTTTTGAGAGTGTATAATCTCTTCCGGACTCGGCTGATGACTGGCACAATGTACAAGATCGGATTAACTCAATCGAAACAATGACGTAGCAAAGGAAATACGTATCGAAATTGTCCGAACCCGCCTATATAAAGGATATTTATCTTCAGAGCCTCGAATCAGACAAGAGTACCTGCTGAATTTAAGCAAATCGACACCGAGGCACGAATACGTTTTTCCACACTCGCCACAACATCACCATCGAACAGCCCGACATAGCATATACGCATTGACAATTATGGGATGTTTCTGGTTAAATGTACGAGGGACAAGAAAAGGGTGATGATTATGATGAAAGAGCGCGGGAATATCATGGAGTTGGACAATGCCGAAACTGGTAGAGTCCATTAAAGTAAGGAAAGAAAATTTACATGACTCCCACACTGGAGCGCGGTCCGGAGGTCAACATTAATCTGGCGTGTAAGGATTATAATTGGTATTATTAACAAGTTAATGTTAAATTTCGAGTACTATTATTATTAATTATTAATTACTATTATTATACTGTATATTCCGTCATACGTCAACACACAGTATATTCAACCCACATGATTTCCAAAAGTTCTACCATTTGCTGTCTCGTCTCTGGAATCAATATATCCCAAATGCGATTTCAATTGTAAGGTGAGTTTTTACAGCTGTTTCTAAGCTTTCATTGTACTTTTGTTGCTCACGTGTTATTTTATCTTATCTATGATCACCAGATAATTGAATATCTTCTAATGCAAATAAATAAAACGATAAATGCTTCAGTCAATATCGTTTATTACATTACTTGCGTAAGCGCACTTGACGATCTGAATGTGGACATGGCGTGTGTGTGTGCACGAAGAATGGAAAAATTCATAGAATCCGAAGACTTTGTCGGTCCAGTGAAGAAGAAGAAAAACTGCTCATGTATTTATTAGTCAGACCGTATATCCCGGAACTGGTAATGTGAACTAGTAGTTAAAAATTTTTTGGTGACTTTATCAACAATTATCGTTCAGATGCTGACTATACATCTCTCTCTGGCTTATAACAACTAGGACTAGAGGATTTCTTTTGATCTGTGAACATTAATCGGGTCTGGGGCAGATTACGTGTAGTTTAAGGATTGAGTAACGCTCAATAGCAGATTCTCAGTAGGCATCATTTGGTGAGCTCTTGAGTCTATATCATTCCCTCTTTTTCCACCATACGCTCAAGCAATTCTAGATCTGACGTTGCAAATTCCGACATTCAAAAACTAACAGGAATGCGCACTACTTCGACTAGATAACTGTCTCGAGCGTGATAAACGCGCCAGAGTAACAATGAGTTTACGAAGGACCGACATTGGAATTAAAAATGCACATGTGAATTCTCATGTTTGATGGATGATGGAAATGAAAGAGTAGATTGATAGGCCGTCATACATTCTGGATTTACTTATTCATACTCATTTCCATGATGGGTAAGCCTTATGATTATGATTCTGTTTCATTGTTATACGTACATATTGATGCCAACAGTGTTTTAGGGATTAGCTAGTTTTCATTAACCTAATGTTTACATAACGCATTCTCATTTCGTACAAGGTAGATAAACATCCTTTTTGTCTTTCCGCACATGAAGCTCTTGATAGCAAGGATGCATTATAAAATAATTATTTTAATTGCGTGTAAGTTAAAAAATAGGTTTAGGGTTAGAATTATAGAACAATATGTTCAACAAAAATATGTTCTTTGTTACAAAAATTATGCATAAAATTTAGTGCTGATCTTCAGGGTAACTTGACAAATATGAATTGTGGCGTAATCTGACGAAAATGGTACATAGGAACGTCATAGTGACATCATAATCATAAAACGTCATAATAACACCGGACATAAACTCCGGTGCTGTGTTGAAACCTATATAATGCCTTTGTAAACAACAAGACAAATTTCAAGTCAAACATTACAAGACTTTAAAAATGTATAACAACGAACTTCCTGTCAAGAGAAACCGCACGCAGTTGGCGACTAACCTGGAAAAAATAAACGTAAGTCATCGCAGAATTATTTACTACAAGTTGGAACAAGACTATTTACTATTGAATAATCTCTTGCATTCTTTCAGAATTGGGTAGAGTATGTTGAGACACACGTCATAAACCGTAGCCTCGACGATACCCTTACTTTTCCGGTAGTCCATGCCTCCTCGTTCTCGCAATTTGTTGGGGTGATTACATTGTAAGTTTTCCGTTTTATTTTGTCCGAGTGTATAAGCTTTTTGCAACGGTTTACCGCTCACCGCGACTTTTTGAGAGTGTAAAATATATATATTGACTTGAAAGACAACCATCGCTTATACAAACCGTTTTTCTAATCTTTTAGGCGAAGCTTTGCGAATTCGCACCGTTGTGCTGTCAATATCGGCCTAACATGTTGCCCAATTGTGAAGGCAACGTAAAGCCTCGTGGTAATGATGCGCAACACTTTTACACTCTTTCGGGCGCATCACAAAATACCACTGAGGCAAAGCCTATCATACAGCACAACGCCTCTGAGATAATAAGGCTGCTCAGAGTTTATAAATTCGTACCGCTTCCTTGCGTACGAAGAAAAACAGTGTTGCGCTTTAGTGACGCTGTTGTTCACTACACCCCTTAAACACGATAGTTTTGTTTCCAAAATTTTATAGATATAGTACAAACTATTTGTCATGTTTGTTAATTGTTGTTATTTACAAAATAAATTTCGAAAGTTGACCAAATAATAAGACGACAAAATGCCTAAAAATTGTAAGAGGAAAATAACTAGTATCGATAAAAGAATAAGAATAGTGCAATTTCTTGCCTTCACAAAGAATAATATTATTATCATGCATGACCGCTTGTCCTATTGTTAAGTCACACTCGACTCGTCTAATGCGCTAAATGAATGAAATATTAAACTGTTAAATCCTTGGGGCATACAGATGGGGAAGTTCATTACTTTACATATTCATTCGCTTAACCCACAGCTGGATGTTACTTCAACTTCGTAATACTAAGCATAGACACTTCCGTTCAGCACAAGAATGTATAATAATTATTATTGAACATCAAATCTAGTAAAGAGTATATCGATTATAAAAGAGCCATTAATTTTTCGGCGTTCTTGAACCGCGTTTTCGTGTAACCTCTGAACACATCACTTCAGCTCAGATTAATATCCTTTGGCATTCCATTCTTTCGTAACACGACTAATACAAATCGGCCTACTCAGACTTGTCGCGAGATACTCGAACATGGCAGGTAAATTCCCTGATAATCTGCATCTTGATTTATAATTTCTCCCTACACTATCTATGTTTCTCTAGTTTCCCACGTTGCAAGTGATGCAATAGAACTGAACCATATAATAGCTATTTTTTAATCCTCCACTACACATACCCCCCCCAAATACTTCCGTAAACCTTTTTTTCTGTCCCTACTTATTACTCCGTAATATTTGCTTTTCACGCAAGGTATTTTCTCCCGCACTTCCAACCCCCCAAAAAGCGGATTATTATTATGGCGGTTCTTGGCTTCGCCATGCTTCCCGCGCTTCCCCGCCCCTTGCAATTGTTTGAAAAACTCTTTTCTTTGCTTGCGAAAACCGAAATACCTCATTCTTTCTCAAACTGTTCTATTCGGGTTTTTTGTTCTTGCTCGGCACTGGCTAGCTCTTGCTCCCGTAAAACCCGTTCTTTAAACTCACTTTCCCGCTCCTCGCGGGCTTCGTCTTCCAACCAGTCGGCAGATCAATTTAATTCCACCTAGATTGATATTACCGTTTCCTGAAACGCCACCAACACAACAATACACATTACTTCGACGAATACTTCGAGTCTGAATCCAAAGTAGACCGTGGAACCGAATGAGATGGGACGAACTCGGCCAGTAATGATGCCGCAGGCATTAGAAGTGTAGAATGATGAGCTCGAAAAGGATATATAAATAAGGAGGAACGTGATTTTCGTCAAATATGTAAAATTCAATGGTACGTATTAGATCGACTGGCATGGCCGTGGGCGTAGATTGTTGACGGTCAGAATGGAGCAAAACTTTCCTTCATTTTATGCTGAAGCTCTTTTCAACAAGAACCTATAGTATTGACTACGTACCAAATGACAACTTTGAGTGATTGGGTTGGAAGAATATTTAGAAGTGATGGCTTTGCCAGTGCAGTAAGAAAACTACCATGTGATAAGAAGCGTAGCACGACATCTCAGTCCTCGAATGAATTTGAGTTGAGGCAGGCGATGAGTCGGAGAAAGATGAAGAAAGGGCGAGAATGAAGAAGGCTAGGTACCGCTATCAGAATTAGGAATTCTCGCCGAACGTGTGAAGTTTGGATTGGAAAAGTGGAAGTTGAAGAAGCGTTTATGGAGAAAATTTTGTCGATTATGAAGCTTTTGCAGTGAAGAAGAAGTGATGCAACTGCGTATTAGGCGAAAGAGGGACTGTTTCAGCATACTTGAGTTGAGACGACGAAGAAAGATAAGATTTAGAATGAATAAAGGAGACGAATGTACAGAATTTGATAATGCGGACTATAAGCTTGCAAGTCGATACTGGAAGGACGGCTATAGTACTGAATGGGAGTTTTGAGCTAACAGATTAGAGGAGCAAGAGGGATTCTAAAGAACGGTTGTAGAGGAATTCATCAGAATTGTACTATCTCCACCGGTGTGAGGCAGCACCAACTGTGGAAGAATAGTTACGGTGAGTAGTTCGTGCGCAAACAAAGAGGTATTACGCGGAGTAAACATTGAGGACTACAGTGTCCAAAATACTCTCATTCTAACTTTACTGTTAATTCTTTCCCTTCTTTCTGATTACAAGAAAGTATCGTGGCCATACGAAGCTCACATTGTGCTTTTTTGAGTACTAGAAGCACCGAACTGCGTTGTATGTTATCGGATTCAGGCGCTTGATGGAAGCATACTCTGTTGCGAAATAGAATCTAGGGTAAGTATTGATGAAAAAGTGAATATCGATTCTGGTTAAATATATTCTAATATTTGATTAATTAATAATTATGATAGATTTACCCGACTCATACGTACATCAAACCCGACTCTCAATTCAGACGCCCAGAAGTACTAAACTTGACCTATATATTATCATCAAACTGGGAGCGAAGATTCGGTACATTGGCTTAGTACTGAGCATATACATAAATAGAAAGTGTAATACTAATACAGCCTTGACATAGATTGAGCAACTCTACTGAAGTATGAAGGCATCAATGTCTACATCCGGCACTTCACTACTCTGACATTTGCGCATAACGATTCTTTACGATGATCACCGCTTTCTGGCTGGATCGGAGGAGAATGCAACGGAACGGTCCCGTTAGACATATTATCAGTATTGATTTCTATCAAGTGAAAAGTACATAATAAGAACAAAGGTATACAATCAAAGTCCTGCCAGTATTTTTCTTGCGCTCTGGCCACTCCCTTATATTGTTCTGTAATTCTAACCCTAACTCGATATTATTCAATTTACAGGCAATAAATACATATTGCGAGAGTTTAAGTGAAAGTACAATATGGCTGAACTTGCAGGAAGACAAAATGGATTGTTTATCTACCTTACAAGAAATGGAATCTACCTAATATCAATAAATTCGACTCCTTCACATCCTTCGAATAACTACCAACGAGTTAGAACAAGAAAAATGCATAAATCATTACATCCAATCAACAGCAGAAGAAAACCCACAGGACAGCAGTAACATAGAAATGATTATTTCTCTCACAACACTAAACACATTTAACGACAAACAGAAGGAGAAGAAGACGTAAAGCCTTTATAGAATAATAAGGCTTAGTATATCGACGTCAGTGAATGAGCCTGATCGAGAATGAGACTAGAAGCATGCCGGCCACCAATCTACTCTTCATTTTCACCATCATATATTTAATGTCACTTTATTCTTGCTCTGTTCATTATTTTGACCCATTCTCTGAATGTAAGTAGATATATGTCAGGTGGTCATTATCACTTGGCTTTTGAACACGCTGACGGAGGGACGTTATGTGAATTACTATTACTTCGACTGTTTGACTTGGAAAGATAATAAAAGAATGGTTACCTAACACTCAGTCTTCTCCTTACTAAAAACTTTCTCGATCATACTTCCTACTCTTTCTACCGGTTGTGTAGCATCATATACCGAGCCAGTAACAATTATATATTGGGAGACATCTCCTCTTATATTCATACGTCCCCTTCTTCTCGTTAATGCATCTTCTTCGGTCATATATGTTGCCTTGATATTCAAACTTTGTAGCGTCCGCGGTATCTGAGTAATATGTATTGCCATTCGCACGTTCCCCTGTTCTACTGATTTCTACCCAAATTGACCACGTTCTCACACTCTGGTTCCATTTTTATAACGTCGCGCAGTCTGTATTGAGCAGGGCGTACTTTTGATCAGCAACTTTATGGATATTTCTGCTCGTGCCTACGATAATAAAGGCCAATGTCTAATTGCGCTGCTACATATTCTTGATTTGGTGGATGCTGGCGAAGAAAGGGATACAGAGAGATAAAAGACAAGAATAATCCCAATTAAGCGATTGCTACCACTGTTTCATTTTCCAATCGCATTGTTCTTGACGTGATTTTTGACGAATTGATTTCGTAATAGTGTCCCTTGAGCGTAAAATCGTTCTTCAAGGAGGTTATCCATGAATTAAAGCATACTATTACATGATAAGATAGATGGGGAGCTTCTGGGGTTATGGCCCTAGTAGAGTCGTTATTAACGGAATGCTGGGGATACCACGTGGATTTCGCGTTCCATAATTTGAATAATTGGATAACCTATCTCTTCTGTGATATAGTGCAGCATGCTACAGGTAGGCTGGTTGCATGGTAATTATTACCAAGCTCCTTTTTCATCGGATATAGATGCTACTTGGACAACGTATCCCGTGCCGAAAGCCAATCAATATTTTATGCTAAAGGCATCTACCCAGTAAGCAGCAAGTAGATGATAAATTCTCCAACATTCTCGTTGAGACTTCCATAATGGAAGATGTGATCTATCAGGCACACAACGACTTATGCCCAAATCTATCTCCAAATCTTTCGCATGATAGTCTCCTTCCAATCCTCTATGATGGTCTACGTAGGAAATCACCGAGCTCCGACTCAGTTCGCGCTCAGGTTTACTCTAATGACGAACCCAAAATCTTCTACCGACTGATTTCATCCAAATCGTATAAGTCTCGAAATGTTGTATGGGTTTGGAGCAGAATCTGAGGGTAACATAACGAATGTGAAAATATCGATGCCAGTTAATTTCTATTAAGAATTTAGTATGTTGATAATTGCTTTAGTTATAATTTCATACTAGTATTACCGTCAAATTTTCCTTTCTCCTGCATCTACACTTGATGCGGCATTGTACCGGCTGAGCCAGAACGCATATCGAATTCCTCAATTACTGAAATTATCCTTCTCTATGCTTCCGGGTTTCCTCTTCCCAATCTACACGTAAACTGCCCAGACCTGATTAATACTCCATCCTAATTATTATAAGCCAGAAGGGTATAGTCAGAAAGCGCATGCCAAAAAAAAATTATCAAGTTGAAAGAATGCCATTTCAGGCAGTGCCCTTATCAATTAATAAATTGATGATGTGAAGAATTATTGCACATCAATAAACCTACCCTTATTTGATATGATACTAATACAGGCTTATTTTGCAATATTGACCCGGATATGTACATGTTTGTGTAATACATTAAGTGATCATTTGACCTTCTAATAATATTAATCGTAAAATCTGACCGCAATAGACAGGAATAATATAAGTTCATACGTGTTCAATAAAGGTCCAGCAAGATAGGTTAAAAAATATCAAATTGTGAGCCGAAAAAGACTCGAGTTGTTTTCTTCTTGAAGAATATCTTT